TATGGTCACTTAATCTACAACAAAAGAGGAAAGAATATACAATGCAGAAAAAACAGTCTCTTTAATAAATGGTGCTGGGAAGACAGGACAGCTATACACAAAACAATGAAACTGTACCACTTTCTTATACCATATACAAAAATAAACTCAAAGTGGATTAAAGGCTTTAATGTAATGCCTGAAACTGTAAAACTCCTAGAAGAAAACATAGGCAGTAAGCTCTTTAACCTTGTTCTCAGCATTATTGTTTTGGATATGCCTCCTCAGGAAAGGGCAACACAAGCAAAAATAAACAAATGGGACTACATCAAACTAAAAACCTTTAGCACAGAGCAGGAAACCATCAATAAAAATAAAAGTCAACCTACTGATAAGAAAAGATATTTGCAAACAGTATATCCAGTAAAGGGTTGATACCCAAAATACATAAGGAACTGATGTAACTCAGTATCAAAAAACAGACAACACAATTAAAAATTGGACAGAGGACCTGAATAGACATTTTCTACAAAGAAGACATACAGATGGCCGACAGGCATGTGAAAAGATGCTCAACATCACTAATCATCAGGGAAATACAAATCAAAATGACTAGATACTACCTCACATCTGTCAGAATGGCTATTATCAAAAGGACAAGAAATAACAAGTGTTGGCAAGGATACGGAGAAAAGGGAGCCCCCCCCCCCCGCACTGTTTGGACTGTAAATTGATGTAGCCACTATGAATAACAGTATGAAGTTTCCTCAACAGATTAAAAAATAGAACTACCATACAAATTCAGCAATTCTACTTCTGGGTATTTATCCAAATAAAACAAAAACACTAATTAAAAAAATATATATATCCCTACGCTCATTGAAGCATTATTTACTATAGCCAAGCTATGTAGGCAACCTAAGTGTCCATCAATAAAATGGATAAAGAAGATGTGGCTTATGTACACAGTGGAAAATTACCCAGCTATAAAAAAAGAATGAAATCTTGCCACTTGCAACAACATGGATGGATCTAGAGGGTGTTAAGCTAAATGAAGTAAGTCCAACAGAGAAAGCCAAGTAGCATACGATTTCAACTATATGTGGAATCTAAAAGAAAAAAGAAGCAAACAAACAAGACAAAATAAGAGAAACGGAACTATAGATACAGAGAACAAGCTGTTAGTTATCAGAGGAAGGAGGTTTGCAGGGACAGGTGAAATAGGTAAAGGGGATTAAGAAGGACAGACTTGGCAGTTATAACATGAATAAGTCATGGTCAAGTAATGTACAGCATAGGGAATATAGTCAATGGTATTGTAATACCTTACATGGTGACAGATGATAACTAGAGTTACCATGGAGATTATTATATAATGTATAGAAATATTAAATCACTATGTTGTATACCTGAAACTAATATAGTATTGTATGTTCATTATAATTATATCAATTGATATAAATTATAATTCAATAAAAAATTTGGATATTTTTTAAAGCAAGAGAAATAAAGAAGAGGATTAAAAGAATTTCTGTTAAAATGATTTAATGCTATTGTTTTAAAAATTCAACACCACGTAACTGAATATTTATAAAGGATACATTTGGAAATACTGAAAAATATAAATTAAAAAGATGGAAAAATATGTATTAGAAAATAACCCCCCAAAAAGTTGGTCTACAATTTTAATAACAAGCACAGAGGAATTTACAGAATTCTAGTCTACATGCTTTTGGAAGGATACCAGCTCACAGAATCAGGGGGAGCAGGAAGAAGACATTGGAAACACCAGGAAACAAGGAAACTCGAAGGAAATCAGGAAGCAGGAAACATTGCAACACACTCCTGCAGGAACAGCCTGGCTAGTGTGTTGCCACAGCTGCCACTGCTGTCATCACCTCTGTTGCTGCTACTGTGAGGATTCTGACCCTCAAAATTCCTTGATTCCTTGTTTCACTCACTGTTCAGAGTCCTAGGAGCATGCATCTCGCTGACTGAGCTGGTGTCTCAGCTGTCTCTGGCTGTTAGAAGAGGCTTGTAGGAAGGCTTGGATTCCATGGTGGAGGCAGACACTAGGCAGTGGTCTCTGACCAAAATGATCAATAGTGAAGGAGAGGAAATTCACTGAAAGGAAACTGGGGAGACTTCCTGAAGAATAATATATGGTAATTTTTTAAATGTCTGGAAAGATACAATTAGAAGCAGCTGCCAATGTGGAAGGAAAGAAATTGACTAAACAGTGTTTTGAAAATTCTGTATCCTTATGTACAGTTTTGCAATTCTTTAACGATGAAATTGCACTCATGCATGGCTTATGTATTTTTTTAAAAATAGGTTTTAAAAATGGTACTTAAAAAAGAATTTTCACCTTTAAGAGTGAGAATTATATACTCACAGCACTTTTAAACTTTCATGGGAATAATTGATGGAAACCCCGCTTCAGCAAAATTCAAGGGAGGAGAAATCTCCCTGGGACTGCAGAGATTTCACCGTTGGCTAATCTACTTTTTTTTTTTTTCCTTGAAATGCGTTGGCTTCATCTACCTTTAGAAGTTTCTTCTGTTGAAAACTCTGGATGATTTTTTCTCTCTCTGAAGCCAGCCAGATACTTTGTAGTCAAATAAATTGTCAGAAAAACTGCTGTATCTAGAGATTTTGCTGTAGTAGAAATGTGGCCACAGCCTTCTCAGAGGAGCTCACCATTTGAGATTATATTAAAAAAAAATCAAAATTAAAAGCTGCATTATATCACTTTTGAATTAACCATGCTCTTAGGGAAATGTAGTTTTACATATGGGTAGAAATGTTTGTGTGTGGATGTATGCACGTGCACGCACATGTGTGTGTATGTTAGTGATAGAGACAAAGTGACAGAGACAGACTCATTCCAGCTCTGTAAGGCCAATATAGATAATTAGATTCCGAGAGAAATGACCTGGTTGGAACTTAAAACCAACTGAAATTTGTACCTTTATTAATAATATCTAACATTGTAACTGAAGTTAATTGTCTACAACATAATCCAAGAGGGTTACCTTTTGGAGGTCTCTTCTGTGATACCTATGTATCCATTCACCCACGATTTGATTCATTCATTTATTCATTTAACAAATCTCTGGTAAGTGATTATTTGATGGCACTTCTGCTAGACAATGAAGATGCAGAGTGAATCAAACACAGTATAGGGGAGAGAAGTGCAACTAGCCAGGCAATTAATATGGACCAGTGTGATCTGTGCTGGGATATCCAGGATGATTTGTGAGCTCTGAAAGAAGACATAACATTGAAGACTGGAGTGAAGATTTGGTGGAGGAGAGTGTTGGGGCATGTCAAGAAAGCAAAATGAAACTGAGTCTAAAGGGTGGGAACCATAAGTAGAAAAGTAGAGATTTTTAAACAACTAATTGATCGACAGGGTGAGATCTCTTGCAGATTCTGGGGCAACAAAACCGAATACTTTAGGGACGTCATTGTTTTTAATGTACTTGAAGCTTGCATGACTGGATTGGTAAGAGGGGACATACAGTAGACATCGACTGTTTTTACTGTTCAGTATACACTCACCTTTTTTCTGGGAATGATAAACTGAATTCCAATTGGGGAATTAGCTTCTCCCCTCACACACTCCCTATGTACGCACGCACGCACACACGCACACATGCACGCATACAGCACATAAAACTGAACCCAGGACCTTGGACCTATCAATTGTATCCATTTCTTTAGGCACAGTAATTGGTCAAGACTTAAGCATGTACCCCAATCACAGCCGAAGTACAACTTACTTGGCAGTTTCCAAGAAAGAGATATTGACTCTTCTGTTCGGCCTGAAGCCTGAGGGAATGTTGGGGCTGGAGCTTCAGGCAACCTCTTGCTACCATGTGACGCTTGATGCTGAAGCCAATATGACAGAAGGCAGAGTAAAGAGATGGAGAGAAACCAACTCCTAATTATATTTTCTGGGCCCTGAATCCAGTCTTGTTATTTTATGTGAGCCAATAAATTCCCTTTTTGCCTAAATGAGCTGGTTGTAATTTTTTTCACTTGCCACCAAGAGTCCTAATTGATGCAGTCCACAAAGAGGACGCTGTGCGGTGGGGATGAAAAAGAAAGAAGCTAATATTTCTTAAGCAACTATCCTTGTCCCCACCAGGTGAAGCTAGGCACTGCTGTTTTCTGGGTTTTAAGGTTCACAATATTCTAAGAAACCAAGTGAAAGCATCCATCCTAGTACAAAGGTCTGCTGTTTAATTCTAAATCCTATTCATTGTACGTTGTGCTGTGCTGTTGGTTTAAGGTTTACTCTAGGCCAACATTGCCTTTACTGTTTTAGGGAACACTAGTGTTAGGTGAAATGTTAATAAGTGTTATATGACGGACAAATCAAATTCTTTAAAAAAAATTTTTTTTAACGGAGGTACTAGGGATGAGATTCAGGACCTTGTGTATGCTAAGCATGCGCTCTACCACTAAGCTATATCCATACCCACTCCCAAATTCTTAATATATAAGATACTCTTAAAATGTATGAAAAATATTAAACTTACTTGTGGGTTTGATCTTTTTTTATATGTCTTGTAGAAATGGTTCAAGGGGTCTGATGAGGGATCACCTACAGCATAAATTAAAGATGCTTAAAAACTATGCATTGGTGCACAGGTGACATTGTCAGCCTACACAATGTATTGATCTAGGGTTTTTATTTGAGAATTAAGTTTGTGCTTCTAACTTCTTGGGGGGGATATTATTCCATGTGTATTGGCAATAGAGGTTCATACTACAAATGGCTGATGAAGGGAAGTTTTTAATAAGAAAACAGACTTGAAAAGGTCTCAGATAAAGCAACAAAGAAAATCAGAATGATTCAAAGTGAATGTGATTAATGACAAACGTAAATTTCCAAACACTACTGTGAGGTAAACTGTCCAAGATTAAATAAGTAAATATTTTGGGACCTGCCGTATGTAAGGCTTAAAACATTAAATTTGTGTTACTCTCTTTGCTACAATTTACTTTTTTTCCAGGAGAGAGCATAAACACAGTCCCCTACTACCACAAACTATGTAGTCCAGTTTCCCACTTTTGGGGAAACTGCAGGGGTCGCACGTCCAGAGTGCAGCGGATAAGCCTCGCCCTGGGAAAACCACTTTCGTGATCACAGTGTCTTGCCTGCCAGGTAAGTACAATTTACTTTTTAAAATGAGGATTTTATAATATCCTGGAATTAAAATATTGGAATGTATTTGGTGCTGCGCCTAACAGGAAGACCTGGCTCAGAAATATTATTCCTGTTACGTGGGAAAAAAAGACACAAAACACTGTTCTTGTACAAAGGATGGGTCTTTTTACATCATATTATATTACGAAATGTACAATAAATTATTATTCACTTTATGTAGACATTTTCTTTTTGTTCTTAATTGGAAAAAATATTTAATTTCTGTAAAGGTACTTTTGTTCAGTTACAGAATTTTAAAACCCTATGAAGAAAGTTAGATTTCTTGCAGCAGTTATTTCTTCTGAGACCACTTTTGTTACCTGCTGTAATGTAAGGGAGGCTTACTTTCTGAACCTATTAGTTTTACATTGGAAAGAATCTGTAAGATGATTTTTCTTAATTCTAAAAATGTGAGGAGTTTTTGTAGGAAGCTCTCTATTTTACTGCCACATCGCTAGATGTTCAGTGGTTCAAATTCTGTCACAGGGGCTCAGGAGTGTCTTGGGATATGGACACCTTGGAGACTGTCCTCACAGGACATGTTATAAGCAGGTGGAACAGAGTCTTGCCTGCTGGAAGATCAATGAGTTGGCTACTTTCTAAGGGAAGTTCTAGACAGCGCCACCTTCATGAGTCTGCAACCTCTGCATTCACACTCAAAGCCCTGCACTTAGTTTTATGCTCGGCTATAATTATCACGAGATTCTTAATAATTTTTGATTATGGGGCCCTGCGTTTTCATTTTACACTGAGCGCCATAAATCATGTACCTGGTCCTGCCTCTAGGAGCTGGGTATATACATAGCAAATAAAATGGGCAAAAATTGTTGCTCTCATGAGATGTACATTCTAATAGGAGAGACAAAAATAAACAACATAAAAAATACGAAATAAGCAGCTAAGGGATATAGCCTAAGGAGAAAAATAAGGCATGGAGTGGAGATGGAAATTATGTGTGTTTGAGGGTGGGGTGGAGTCTGAAAGTTTAGACAGGTTGACCAGGAAGTCATCAATGAGAATGTGACATTTGAATAATGACCTGAGGATAGTGAAGAAGAGAACCCTACTAAGATATGGTGAGAAAGACTTCCAGACAGAGTGTCAGCTTGTGCAAAGGCCCCAGGAGAGTGTGCCTAGAACAGTGAGCTGGCAAGTATAGCTACAAGAGGGGGAGAGTAGTTGAAGGGGAGGTCAGAGAAGGTACTGGGGGACTTTGGATTCATTTTATGTGAGATGGGAAGGTGCAGGATGGCTTAGGCAGAGGAATAACATGATCTGAAAGATCACAGTGGCCATGTTGAGAATAGAATGGGGAAGCAGGAATAACTAAGGGCCCATCAGTGAAGACCATACACTTTGCTCCTTCAATGAGGCTGTGCAGCCTGTGGCTCCCAGGTCTTGCTCCAGTGGAAGGTGGAGGGGCTGATTGCTTCTAGATTCCAACATGGCTCCTGACTTCTGGATTCAGTCTTTATCTCAGGCCCTTTGACCTTTCTCTTTCTACACATCCTTCCCAATCTCTTACTCACTGTTACAACTGGGAATCCTTTCTAGTCTGTGGGCAGAGAGGGTTTGAACCCTACCAGTGTTATGCATTAGAACAGTCTGCTACCCAAAAGAGAACTAACAAAGGACTGGCTGTGTATCCCAAGCCTTACAGGTTGAAGCTAGAGATAGCACTGTGAAAACATATCAGTCAATAAGAAGACAAGAAGCCCCACTTCTCAGTACTCTGGAGACTTGGGAGTCATCTGGAAATACAGATTCTAAGGAAGAAGAGTGAAAACTGATCATCAGCATGACTAGTGAATGGGAACTTTTTGCCAAGGTGAGGAGAATACCTATTGGTGACAATGGAAGGATGTACCTGTATGGCCATATGTTTCCTGTTATGTAAGAATGTACTGCATCCTTAAGAGACCACAGGAAGGGCATAAACATATACAATCCACCAGTGGGTTGGGGATTGGCAGAAGGACCTCCATCTCCACCTCATTCTGTTTGCTGCTCATCAGTTTTCTCTGCCAATCTGTGTTGCTTGTTGCTGACTCAGACACTTTCTCTATAATTCATCAAGCCCCAGTGCCCAGCACTGTTTGATGATCACATGTATGATACCACAGTTTAAAATCCCTCATAGCAAAGCTGATTGGCCTTATTTGGGTCAAATATCCAACTCTGATCCAGGAAGTTTTGGTCATTAGGATGAAGGTCAGCACAGCCTTCTGGGGGTGGTCGGTGAGACATTTTATGGAGAAAAAGGGTTTTGCCTGAGAGGAAGGCTCAGGTCCTCTAGTTTACTGTCCCTGTATGCTTTGTATTATATAAACTATACTTTAAGAGATTTTAGAACCTATCCCACATTGTTAGAGTCTACACAGGCTAGAGATATACGTGGGGAGAGAGTTCTTTCACTCTGTGAGGTTGTGGCGAAGATTAACTCACTCTACCCCTCTATGTTGACCTTGGGATAAATACCGTTTATAAATCAAATCATCTGCTTGGATGTCACATTTAGTAACATGAGCAGTCATTCTTTTCTTCAATTATAAAAACTTGGAAGCAAAATTTGATAAGCTAAGGATACCATGTTGTAGTGTAATTATATAGATATGGTTTTACTGGAGACCAAGTTTTTCTTTATGTTGTGGAGTTTGATTGCTTGTTTACTAAATCCTATGAGAGGCAAAATCAGGTTACATTTTAATATTTATTATATAAGATAATTTCTTTAATGTTTTCTTAGTTTTAAACTAAAAGTGAATTATCAAATGACTTCTGAATAGGAACTTAAATACTTATCTCAAACATTTCTCATAAGCACTAAAGGAGTACAAATCTCTTTTCTGAAGGATGACAAATAACTCAGTTTCTTCCTGAGCAATTTTTATCCCTTTTTCTGAGTGTTAAATTTAATATTCTTAAATTATAGTCTACAAAGATTTAATCTTGAACTATATTAAAGGGCGCTTATGTTACTTTATTTTATTTCCAAGAGGATTTCCTGTGTTTAGTTTATGCTTTTTTATACTTGATAGAACATATACCAAGCCATCACATTGTATTAGAATACTGAAACACAAAGGAAGAAGTTCAGTAAATTAGTAGATAGATCTTTAGAACACATATTTTGTTTAAAATTTTAATCCTGATAATTTTTATATTTTTAAATCTATAAATAATTTCTTTTTAGGATTCATTGTAGAGTAAGAGGGAAGAGGCCCCTAAAGGTTATTTATCTGTGCTGTACTTTGTTTCAAAATATTACTGTACAGTCTCAAAATGTCTTCACAATTATGTCCTTACTAAGGGTATTTGATATCTATAGCTAGCTATGTGACAAATTGGCCCAAAACTGAGATGCTCCAAATAGTAAATATCTATTATCTCACATCTTCTGTGGGTCAGGAATTCTGGTGCAGCTTACGTAGTTGCCTCTGATTCAGGGTCTTGCACAGGCTGTAATCAAGGTGTCAGCTGGGTCTGCATTTTCATCTCAAGGCTTAGCTGGATGAGGATCTGCTTCCAAGCTCAGTCATGCAGTTTGCGTGCCAAGAGCCCTAGATTTAGTCTTTCTTGGGCTGTTGGACTGAGGGTTTCAATTCCTCACTGGCTGTTGGCCAGAGGCCTTTCTCAATTCTTTGCCATATGGGCCTCTCCATAGGAAAGTTCATAACACAGCAGCGTGCTTACACGAGACAAAGGGCCGAGAGAAACAGAGAAAGTGGACAGAAGTTAGAGATTCTGGGATTTTTTTTTGTAGCCTAATTTAATATTGACATACCATCACTGTTGCCATACTATATTCGATAGAATTTATTCACTATGTCCAGCCCACACGCAAAGGGAGGGAATTACAGAAAACATGAATAGCAGGAAGCAAGGAGCATGTGGGGCCATTTTAGGGGCTGCTTGCCATTCTGATTGTTGTAAATTGGTAAATGGTAATTAGATAAGCTTTTTTCCACCTTTTTTGTTTGTTTGTTTTGTAGGAGCTTCAGCTGAATCACAGATGACTGACAACCTACCTGAGGTAGTAAGGCTTTTCTGTGAAATTCAGAAGCCTGGGGTTCTGAAACTAGCTTCATTACCTGCGACCTTAGATGTTTTGTGCTTTAAATCTTTCATGACCCAAAATAAGGCCTCAGGAGATGTTCTGAGAACACAGCTGAGTATAGGAGTGAGATGGAGTAGCCAAGAGCTACATAGTGTGGGGCAGAGGGAATCCAAAAGACAATCTCCAAATGGAATGGTGAGAAAATTACCCTGGTACTAGAGCCAGACAAAAAGGCACCGAGAAAAGAAAACTACAAGCCAATCTCTCTGATGAATGTAGCTACAAAAATCCTCAGCAAACAACTAGAAAACAGAATTCAACAACACATTAAAAGGATCATACACCATGACCAAGTAGGATTTCTCCCCGGTATGCAGCGGTGGTTCAACAATCTGTCAATGTTGTACACCACATTAACAGAACAAAGGATTAAAATCACATGATTGTCTCAATAGATAAAAAAACATTTAACAAAATTTAACACCCTTTTATAATAAAAACACAAAAAAACTAAGAATAAAAGAATATTACCTCAATGTAATCAAAGCCATATATGAAAAGCTCACATTTAACATCACACTCAGTGGTGGAAAACTGAAATATTTTCTCTAAGATCAAGAACAAGGCAAGGATGTCCACTCTTGCCTCTTCTATTCAGCATAGTACTAGGAGTTAAAGCATTTAGACAAGAAAAAGAAATGGAAGGCAGTCAGATAATACAAAGGAGAGATAAAATCATCTTTGGATATAGAGGACATGAACTAAATATTGCACACACACACAAAATGGTAGAACTAATAAACACATTTCACAGATTTTCAGGATACTAACCAAAATATAAAAATCAGTTGTGTATCTAAAACACTGTGAATGTAAAAATGAAATTCAGGAAAGAAATCCCATTTACAA